TGAAAGAATGTCCCTCAAGTCCAGGCCCCCAGCAACTGTAAGGCCCACCAGAAGTTCTTCTGATCAGACTGTGACCCCCTTAGACTGAAAACTTCAGCATCTCTGAAGTCAGGACGTGTTTCAGTCTAAGGCGGTCACGGTGTGATCGGAAGGCCTTCTCCTTGGCGGCGTGAGCAAGAGTGGTGGGCCTAGACCCTCACGTGTCCCCAGCACAGGTCTCTGCAGCAAGAGCTGGGCCGGCCTTCTCTGTGAGCGGAGGGGGAAGACACGGGTGGCAGCCACTGGAAGCGGAGGATTAAGTACTTACTTTATGCAATTGAAAGCTGATAGATAAAGGATGTCAGCAATGCCATTCCTCTTTATAATTAAGAAGATAACTTAATTACTGCTATTAAAACCTAAGCTTCTCCCCCATGTGGGCTGCTTTTCATAAAATACCTTTGGTTCTGCTCTTCCCCACACACAGACCTGGCAGCAGTTAAACAGCGGCGCCGAGACTCCAAAGGTTCATCTTGTGAACCCATCTGGTTTGAAGTAGTACGACAAGCAGGGAAGGGAATTGAATCAAAGGCAAGATTTGTGTGTTTTTTTCAATACAGAAAATGTGTGGGGTAGACCAGGAAACAGTCCATCCTCCGCTCCCAGGGCCGGGTGCCACCACCAGGCTGTGGGGCCATGTCCCCTGGCCTGCTCCCCGGCTGTGCCCATGTCACAATACAGAGGTGGCCTTGGGGGTGAGGGAGGTTGATAGGGAGGCATATGGGAATCGGGTTTGTGCAGAGGCATCAGATGTGCCCAAATAGATGCCCGGTCCTGCCCCCCGGCACCTGTGAAACTGCACAGCCTCACTGGAACCCAAACGGAGGAGGAGAGGATGGTCCCCACTGCTCACATGGACCTCCACCATTCATACCACTCCCACAGGGCAAGGGTCAGCACCCCAGCAGTAAGGGGAAACTGAGGCACAGAGGCTGCAGAACCTGGGAGGTGTGCTCTCCCTTACACCCAGCTCCAGGTTGGGCCACTGGAATCATTCCTTTGGCCCAGGAAGAAGCTCCTTGGGCCCCTGCCCTCCCTCTGTCTGCCTGCACATGGCTCCCCTGGCTCTGCCGGCGCTGCCCCTGGCAGCTGTGGCCCCGTGGAATTCTCTAGTGCTTAGGCGCTTTGATCTGCAGCACACCTGGAGATCAGTGCCTCACATTCACCCAACTGTCACCACACAGGTCCCACACACTCTTCGGACGTCCCCCAGCCAGAGGGAAGGGGTGGCTGAAGCCCCACAACCAGGTTTCCTCTGCCTCTGCAACTCCAGGCTTGAGGTGCCGCCGAACACACTCCCCTCATCCATGCCACAACCTCAGTGTTCTGCCTCCGCACCCCAAATGCTTCCCTGTGTAACCAGCCCCTTCAGGTTATTTGTCATCAGAGACCTGTGTCCACATCTGCCTGTGCCCTATGACTCACCCGACACGCTTGTTTGGGCACTTTCTTTTTGTCCCCATAAAGGCATGTGATGTTGGCCAGCTTTACTTAGTGGTAGTACTGGGGGAGGGTCCCATTCCAGAACATCCCTGCACCAGCCATGAGCCTGTGGATAAGACCCCATGGGCTGTGGGGTTGTTAGAGTGCTTGTGAGGAGGTGGCAACCACAGGGCTTGCCAGGGTGCCTGACACTTGGTAAGTCCTGTAAAAATGCTAGTCGTTTGTATTGGGGTATCCCACACACATTTCCAGCCTTCCTAGGAATCTGGAAGGTTTATGTCAAAGACAGAGGCTCCAGCGCTGGAGGAAAGCAGGTCCTACCTATGGCTCTGGTCTGGTCTTCCTCCTCTATTTTTTATTTTATTATTTTATTTTATTTTCTTTTTATCTATTTATTATAGTCAGAGAGAGAGAGAAGCGGGGAAAAGAAGGGCAGAGGGAGGGGGAAAGAGAGAGACAGAGAGACAGAGAGACAGAGAGAGAGAATCCCAAGCAGGCTCTACATTCAGAGCAGAGCCCAATGCAGACCATGACCTGAGCTGAAATCAAGAGTCGGACGTCCAACCAACTGAGCCACCCAGCGCCCCTGGTCTTTCTCCTCTAAAAACAGTGAGCTGGGCTGCTGGGGGTGTCATCCCACCACACCCCAGGGTCTTTGGGTCCCCTAGACCCCTTATGTGGGACCCAAAGGAGTGCAGAAGGCAGTGGACAGGCCCCACCCCTCCTCTACTTAGTCAAGAGTTCACCTGTTTCATCCATTGCACATCCATTGTTTTTTGAGGGTTGAGGAGTCTGGGGTCCCTGGACCAGATTTCTGAGGTCCCTTCTAATCCAAGTTCTTCTCATCCCGAGTTGGCAGCTGGACACCTGGAGACAAGTGAAGGGAGCAGAACGGAACCTCTGGGCCAATTGGTGAACCTAGAGGAAGACACTGAGGCACGAGCCCATGAGGAAGCAGATCAGATGGGACCCGAGACCCACACAGTGCAGCACAGCAGCTCATGGAAGGGGCAGGCCAGGTGTGCTCACAGAGGAGCCCAAAGTGAGGGACACAGAAGCTGCCAGGACAGTAGCTTCACAGGGAAGTCAGGGACTGTCTGGGGTAGCTGCCCATGGGAGTGTCAGCCCCACACGGCAGTCAGAGGTGACAACATTGGCAGTGCTCACCAGGCACTTGTTCCAGGAATGAGTGACCAAGAGGGGCTCTGAAATGCGCAGCCCCCAGCAGAAGCTGGGTGACCCGAGCCACCCTTCCCTCGCCCTCTCCCCAGGATGGAAGATGGGTGACGGCCATCTACTGAGGTGTTGCATGTAGAACCGCCTGTACACACTGTACAGGACCTACACACTGTAGGACCGCCTGGAGGAACAGCCCTCCCCCCCCCAACCCCCGCGCAGTGCTGGACATCACAGCACCCATCATCCTAAAACAACCGAGTGCCCTTCACAGGAGACTGGACACTGGTGAGCAGTAAGAACTGACAGGTGGGCAGCAGTGTGGGCCAGCCCTGCCACACCAGGGAGCACCCGGCGCCCCGCTGCATGATCCCATTTATGAGAAGTTCTTAAGGCAGGCAAACTCATCTATGGGGGCAGAGGGCAGAAAACCTTGCCTGTGGGGGGCTATTCCCCAGCGCAGGGCAGCCCTCATCTGCAGCATCCAGCGAGCTGACCTGCAGCACATGTGCTGTCCAGCACTCGGAATGCAGCCAGTGAAGAACCAAATGTTTAATCTTATTCTATTTTTGTTCATTAACATGTAAGTGGCCCACTATGGCTAGCAGCCACCGTGTCGGACAGCAGTGCAGCTTTCCGTCTTGAGTAGGTGATGATCATGGGAGGGGGTCCACATGCAGGAGGCTGACCGGCTGCACCAGAGGCCCATATGCTCAGCTTCAACCTCTCATCTGCAGGCCGCACCATCATTGGTTCAGAGGGAAGCTTCTTCTCATTTTAGCTTTAAATGAAACCAAAGTGGAGATCTCTCCAACTGTGGTTCTCACCCCCTGCCCCTCACCATGGCCTGAGTGTTTGAAAGTGTGCAGAGAGACCAGCTCTGCCGGGCATAGCCCATCACTCCTGCAGGCCTCCCAGGACAAGAAGGGATGCAGGGCACATTTGTGGCACTAACATGAAACAGGCTGCATGAGTGGGGAGCCCAGTGGTGTATGCGGCTCACCCAGAGGGAGGTCTGCAGCAGGTGACAGCAGGGCGTCCATCAGGGATGGGTGTCCAGAGCTGCCCTTAGGAGTCCCTGAAGCTGCATCCACAGAGCCCATTCAATCATATGCTGCGTCTTCACACCCTGGCACTAGATGACCTTTGAAGCTTTGGGGGACCCTGGCTCCAGAGCTCATTCCTCAGCAGCCTTGGTTACCCTTTGTAGACCTGCCTCATGGAAACACTTTCTACCGTCCAATTGCTAAGACTTCAGTCACTTCATATCATCAGATGGGTGAACACATCCTGGAAGAAACCATCCAGTCTAGGACGGACACTGGGAAATGCCTGGCTGTGCTGGGGAGAGGTGGCACCAGGTTGCAGCAATTGCCACAAACATACTGAGACTGACACAGAAGGGGGATAGAACCTCAGCCACTTGCATTTCCCGTCCATCATGTGTCCAAGTTAGCAGCCTTGACGTTGACCGGTTGTCAGCTTTTCCTGCCTGGACTCAGGAAGGGAGGGATCAAAGGGTTCCTCTGGCCCCATCCCTGGTGTTGAGTTAATGGGGAGAGGTCCGTCACCACCTGGCCTGGGGAAAATGCTTCACAGACAGGTTTCAAGATGACTCATGACCACTGTCATTGTACCCCCTGTCCAGGTCACTCCGTGGGGACATTCACAGGGAACAAAGTCAATAAACAGGGGAAAACGCAGGCCTGGGCTAGGTCCAGCCAGGGGAAATGCTAGAACAGCAGAACTGCCTGTTTTTGTCTTTCTGCTATCAGAGTCAGAGCTTCTCCCCTTCCCAGCCCCCAACTGGCAGTGTCCTGTCGTGATGGTTATTTCCAGCTTCCGTGGAAAAGCACCCAGTACAGGCATTGGTCCTGAAAACAGGCGAGGAGTGCCTGCCTAAATCCTAGAGCAGCGACGACTGCATGCCAGAGTTAAGTAAAAAGACCCTCTGTACACCTGGGACTGGGGCGGAGCCCCGGTACTTTCAGCCTGGGGGCGGGTGGGATGAAGCTGCGAGGTGGCAGTGGGGGCGGGGAACTGGCTGGCAGAGCCGGGAGGAGACCCTGGGAGCGAACCCGGTTGGGGCCACAGCAGAGGGGGCGGGGAGAGGACGGAGAGGGGCGTGGCCGAGAAGAGGCTCTGGAAACCAGCCGGGAGAAAGCGCTCGCAGGGCACTGTAGGGACACAGTGGGGACTGTGGGGACTGGAGCTGTGGGGCCTGGAGCATCGGCCCGTGGGGACTGCAGCTGGGGAGACCCCGAAGTCCCTGTATCGACCGGACTCGCTCCCCCCGACATCCCCGTGCGATCTAACTGGACGCAAATAAATGGACACGCAGGCAGCTTCCAAAAGAGGCGAAACCTTTATCAAGTCGGCGCCGGCGCGGTATCTACAGTATCTACAAATATCTACACGTATCTACACCGCCTGCAGACGGGCTCTCGGATCGTCTACACTGCAACTGCCGGCCGGGCCGGGGAGGGGGGGCGACACGGTCTCGCGGAGAACAATAAATATCACTTCCTTCCGCCGCTGACCGGGCGCTTTGGCACTGGCGGGCGCGGACCCCGTGGCCCTCGGGGCTGGGGAGGGACCCGCGGTGGCTCCCGGGACTGGGGAACCATATACTTCGACAGCTGTCAGGGCTGGAAGGTGGAGGACCCCGATGGCTTCGAGGCTGGGGAAGGGGAGACCCGCACTGGCCCCCGGGGCTTGGGGGAACGTGTTCTTGGAAGGCCCTTGGGGCTGGGTGGACGGGAACCCCGACGGCCCTCAGGGCTGTGCGGGGACCCCGGGCGGGGAGCGGCCAGCGGGCGCCCGCATTATCTGGGGCAGTAGTCGTAGGAGCCGGGCGGCGCGGCCCCGGCCGACGAGTACATGTTGGCAGCGGCGGCGGCAGCGGCGGCGGCGGCGGCGGCAGCGGCGGCGGCTGGGCTCACGGCGGGGTGGTGGTGGTGCGGATGCGCGTGCGTGTGCGGGTGGTAGCCGTGGCCGCGCAGGCCCGGCAGCGGGTAGGGCGCCGGCCGGCTCTTGGGCCCGAGGTAATGGTCGTAGGCGGCGGCCGGGTACTTATACGGGTGGTGGTGCAGCGGCTCCGACGCGCCTGGCGCCTCCAGGCGCAGCTCCGGGTGCGGAGGGCTGGGCCGGCCTCCGGGTGCACCGGGCAGCGGGACGAGACCGCCAGCGCCACCGGCCCCGGGCAGCGCTGGGCTCAGCACCCGTGCCAGCAGCTGAGGCGGGTGCGCCGGGTCCCCTAGCACGGCCGGTCCACCCGCGTCGCGCTCGAATTCTCGCCGAGCCTCGGCCGCCTCTGCGGGGAGGGCCGAGGGGTAAGCGCGGCGGGTCGGGACGGCAGAGGGGACCCGCGAGCGCTCCAACGGTCCTGGCGGGAAGGAGGCACAAGCCCGCGCTCGGACCCTCCCGGCCCCTTCTCGCCGAACCTGCCGGAGACCCGGGGCCTCCCCAGGGGCCCGCGCCCCTCCGCGGGCGGCAGGCGGGGCGGGCGGGGCGCAGCCGTCGGGCCGGGCGGGCGAGTGCGCGC